AGAATAAGGGTATCTATTCCGTCATGAGCGTCATTGCGTAGGACTTGATACTCCACCTCATATTCTGCAGTGTTGGAAGTCACAAACTCAGCCGACAACAAAACTATCTGTACGCACGATTGGCCCATGGCACAACGTCCTGTGCAAGCTGAACTTAACTAAACTACAATCAAAGTCCTGCGTCCCTAGACTGCTTCAATGGTAGCGCTTGGCAATCGTGCCAGTAATATTTTATCGTGGGTGTTAGCTTCTCACTGAAGCTGTTTGATTTACAGCGTTTCATTTGCTTTGCCTTGCAGGTTTATCTTCAACCCCGACCTGCGGAGGACCTGTCTGCCCTTGTTTCCTCGCTACCCCGTGTCCCGATCGTACCGCCACGCTAACTTCGTTCTCCTACCGTTATCCTCAAAGCATCGTATCATCTCGGGCTGTAAGAAAGCGAGCCTAGGGACATCCGGTCGCGCATCCCTGTTCATTCTACTGCGCTGCGAGAGCCCGGAGTACATTCGCAATACACAACTACCTACTCAGAAGCATGACAGAGTCTCGTGATGTCAATGGTAGTGGCCAACAGAAAGTCTACATATTGTTGGACCAAGCCTGTCTAGAGTCAGTCAAGGCAGCTGGAGGAAAAGAGTATCAGCTGCTCAATCCGGACAAGCACAAAGATCGAATAGCAAGGAGTGGCATGGACATATCTGACGTCCGACCAGATATTGTTCATCAGTGTTTACTCATGCTTTTGGATAGTCCCCTAAATCGTGTAGGAAGATTACAAGTGAGTAATCAAGACTCCGTAATTAAGATTTTCTTAATCAATGGGGGATTTATAGTTCTATCAAAATTGGATACATATTTTCACCAGTGGCATTATTCCTACGGAGTTGGTGCAAAACATACGTTTAATGGTTGATGAAAAACGGCAGTTCTTGTCCTTCAAACCAATCTTCGATCTCGATCGTAAATTGAATCTGGTTTGATGCCAGCCAGTGGTGTTCAGGTTATTATTTGCCGCGGTCCAGGCATCGAGACTTTTGGGCGATAAATATCTTCGTCATACCTACTCGAGTACAAAAGAAAACAGGTAGCCGGATCTCATTGTTTTAACGTGGGATGGGACTATTTCTGATCTCACATCAGGTCGAAGGGTCCTATCTCATGCTGAAGCGAATTTTGGATGACACAACGACCTCACACCACAGTTGGTTAAGTTCCACTCCGATTGTTCACCAAAGCGTCAGTTTCCCTGATACTACGCCTTGAGAGAATATTCGTAAATACCAGGCAAAAAACAGACCAAAGTGCAGTGGCGATTGTTAACCCTTCATCTTGCGTCGATTATCTGGGTTGTCACCCTTATCAATAATTGCTGTTCTTTGACCTGAACGAGGGCTTCGGATCAGTAGACCACACTAGCTTACGAGTTGTTTATCGGAAACGCATCGACTACTACTCTGTGAAGGGTTTTGGTCAGGAAGTAAATGCACTTGCTTTTTCTGCTTGGGCAATTAACTACCTAAAGACAGTGGCACCATGAACGAAGTAAACAAAAGTATGCACATCTCATAGTAAGAAGTATGTTATTGATTATACAAAATTTCCTTGAGAGCACGCGACCGGTTTCGCGGTTCCTGCCGCATGAAGAACTACACATGGGTCTCTTCTGGGCTGTGGTCTATCTAAAGATTTTTACCCTGGCAGCGAACCGACAGCCCTGTTATTGGCTCTTGTTGTCTGATTTGACTACTGGACGAAGTGTTTATGCACGATCAGACTGTGTACTGTGTTGACCGTCTAGGTTTACTTTCTTTTATTTACCCTAGAAACAGGCTAACTCGCCAAGTTTGTTAGCGATGAACAAAGCCCGTTACACCCTATTTCATCATACGGTGACTCTTCCACAGCTAGCAACTTATTTAGTGCTGAAGCTCCTCGGAGCGTTATATATAGTCATGCTGACACGATTTTAGGTTTTGCATCGCCAGATCTGTTCGATTTCGTCAGTATGAAACAATGATAAAATGATTGTTCATCAGGATGATTTTCTCAACCGGACTCCCAGTAAAGAACAATTTGACTGGACAGCGGCAATTCTGCAAACCTATTAAGGTTAAAATCAAGTGCTGTACGCCGCCAATACAGCTTAAAAGTTGAAAAGTAACTTCGCAAAATGCTACCGACAACGATAAAAAGTTCGTAACGGAATCCCGAGGAGTTGAAGCATTCACGTGTACTGACATCCGAATAAAATTCTTCCCCATAGCAGTATTCCTTATATAATTGTGCTGTTGTCAAGGTGTATTACATTTCCATTGATTCCCACCGTGTTTTCAGGTCTTCATACGTACCCGGAAAAACGTCATTATCGAGGTAAATCCAAAGACTCGTATACCGCGGACCTTTGAACGGTTTTCCGGATTAATTGTTCAGTTGCTTCACAAATTATCCATACACGCAGCTACAGGAAGCCATGAAAAGTTACTAAAGGTAATTGTTGCACCAATCAATACTGTATTATTTTATGTATTTCTAGGTTGTAAAAAACCCTATCACTCGTTATTTTCCTGCCGGAGCACAAGTTATCGGCACATCTTTCTCCGCCACGGAATACATAAAACCGGTGGATTTGGTTCGAGAAACCCAAAAATCAGGACCGCAGGCGGTTGTTTTCGTCATAGGTGCATTGGCACATGGGTCGATTGTGAAACATTGTGAAGAATTTTTGACGCGAGTCGTGAGCATCAGCAATTTTCCGTTATCAGCTGCCCAAACCTGTGCGCGCATATGTGCCGCTTTTGAAGATGAATGGGATGTTGAGAATTTCGTTAATGAACAAATCGCTTGATCCTTCTTGACCTTGAATTTCGTGGTAAGAGCACGTGCTCCAGCTAATTGGCGTTTGGGTATACGATCTATAGTGCTTTATAGCCGCTTGTAGAAATCGTCTTTGATGGATCCTTCTACTGGTAATGTTGATGCGTATACGGGACAAGACGTTCCTAAGACTGATAGACTGCCAGGAGATCAAAGCGCTTTGAGCTTGCCTGCTTACTGCATAAGCCATCGCATAAAGACCGGGGTTATCAATCGGCCATCGCGTACCCCTTTGATATCAGCCCGATCATATCGTTATCATCGTCATTGCACAGCGTAATAATGGTGTGAGTCGGTCATCATACCGATTTACAAGAAAGGCGATAGGTCCTCTTGTAAAACCACAGGGGAATTAGTTTAATTAACATTGACAAAATATTGAAAATCGGTTCTCGTAGCTCGGGTGAACTGAATTCCATTTCGCCTGTTAGCCGTGCTTGTCAATTTGTTTGCAAACGTTTCATCACTAGCCGAGGTGACATCATCGGTGATTTCCTCTAAACTTCACGCCGTCGATTGTCTGCCGCTCGTGAAGAGTGCACACGTGAGAACCAGGCTGGTTTTAGACTTGGTCGAGGTT